ACTCTTGTATGAACTCAACAAAAATAACCAATTCAGCTGCACTTTATTTGCCATTTGTAGTGTTTGCACCACAATATATAAAAAAAAATATTAATTATATATTGTAATATATTAATATTATACTTAAAAGCAGATTTTCCAGCTCAATAAACTTTTTAAAGTCTATGGACTGTTAGAACTTTTTTGGAAATATATTGATAAGTACTGCTGAATTTTGCTTGTGCAAGTATGATTTGTTCACAAGTGGAATTGTAACACTCTGGACAACATTAAATAGTTTTCATGTCCAATAGGTAAGTTCTTATATATATATGTGGCTATTAGTAAAATTTATATTGTCATTAGCATTTATGTACTGCTGATTTTTTTTTGTTGTGAATAAAACAGTTGATGCAATAGATTCACGTGTTCTTCGCCAAGTATTAACCAGAAATTGATTTGTTTCTTTTTAAGTTACTCAACCTTGCATTAGCATTACTGTTCTCTAATTTATTTAGAAATTATTTTATATCAACATTTTCATGAGATTAATTTTCAAAATGTAATATGCTGTCACTTTCATTTTATACACACAGTGTAATCTCTAATTTGAATCTCCTTAGTTCAAAAACCTTCAATTAAATTATTTCAATTAAATGCAAAATCAAAAACCGTAAAATGCCCTTATGTGAAAAAAACTTTCTATAATTCAAAAATCTCTCTAATTCAAAATTTTCCCCCATAACATTTTAATTAGAGAGATTGTACTGTATATGACTGTATACGCTTTTGAAATAATTTTTATTTCATGTTTTATTTCTGTTAAAATCTATTTATAATATTTTCATAAACCGCATCTTGAAAAAATAAAACTAAGCAACACAAATACAACATAAACTGCATTATTAGACATATCATTTAAAAGTAAAATTATAAAAAACTGCCTATACAAAAGACTATTTTCTTTATATTCTTCGTTTTTGACATCATTAGCATAGTTGTGCCAATTCGCTAGCTTTTATATCGCTAGAATTTAGTTATTGATCTTTTAATTAGATGAATGAGAACCTCGAAGAAACAATCTTTACAATGTCATATACCGATTGAATTTGATAAGTAAAATGATCAAGCGCAACGTTTGCAACGGCTTTTGCTTTATTCATAATATTATTCTATGATAAGCGGATGCGGTAATAGATCACTAATTAGCTGTTGAATGACAACAATTTTGTCATCGATTATTAATGAAGTTGACTGTAACAAACGACTTACTTCATCTAATACTCGTTGAGTTTTATGCCAAAAGGTCAGAAGCATAATAGTTTTGAACATTTAGAAAACTTTACCAAAAACTTAGCTTGAATTAACAAGTCAGAAGTAAGATCAAGATCTTCTATTGTACGATTGAGGACAGCAATAATTTCATGTAGTTATTTTGGAACTGGTTTAATAGCGGGAATCCGAACTGACCACCTGGGATCGGAAATCTTGCGAAGAGTGACTCATAGCAATTCTTGAAGAGTCTTCTACCTAGTAGGACTGCAGCTGAAGAACACGAAGAACACGTCAAAATAAATTTCATCTCAGCGCAAGATTTAAATGCATCTCCTCCAGCTAAACTAAGCTATGGGTACCATAAAAAATATATATAGGGCTTTTGGGATATTCTGTAAAATTAACAATTTTTCCCCTATGTAAATTTCAGCCATAAATGAGCCGTTATCAAAACCTTGTTGTAACAGCATTTCTGCAAGTTATGATATACTTTTATTATCACATCATGAACCAGTTTAGCAATATACGCTCCATTTTTTGTCCGTGTCTTCAAAATAAAGAAAGCGCTCTTTTATCTCCAAGCTTATTTTTGATAGCGTTGAAGTGAACAAGAAGAAGAATAAAAATGATCTCTGTGTGTAAAACATTGGTAAGACTGTAAATTATCCAGCATCTCTCCCTTTCTTTAAAATTTTTATATTTATATTGTCGCTGAAATTTCTTGTTTTATTTTAATAAAACAGCTGATGCAATAGACTTATGTCTTCTTCATCCAGTTTAAACCAGAAATTGATTTGTTTCTTTAAAAGTTACTCAACTTTGCATAAGCGTTATTATCCTCTAACTTATCAAGAAATTGTTGTATAGCAACACTTTCATGAGATTATGTACCAAAATGTAACATATCGTTAATTTCATATTATCTATATATACTTTTATGATAATATACTTTTAGGTATTATTATAGTACTATTAGGTATTTTTTACTATTAGATACTAATAGTAATTAGGTACTATATAGGTGCTATTAGGCATTTTATTAGATGTTAGGTATTAGGTAGGTATTAGGTATATTAGGTAAAAGTATAATATCATAAAATACCTAATAGTACTATATAGTACTATTAGGTATTTTATGATATTATACTTTTAGGCTTGAGCCTCTTACCCTTAATGTAAATTCCTTTCTCTTTTATACAAATAATCATCTATATAAACATTTATATGCATGCAAAAAAAGTTGTCATTTGTGGCAACTTTTTTGTTATTTTGGCAACTTATTATTATATTGTAAGAAAATAAATTTTTACTTTCTCAAAAAAAAAAGTGCGCTTTAAAATTAAATCATAGTAAAAAGAGTTGAAACAACCAAAAAAACTTTACAAAATTGAAATACGGCCAAAATTCTCACTGAAAGAACACTATCTTCTTTAAATATTATAATCCGTGAACATGAAGACCCCGATTGTTGATTAATTGAATTTGTAATTTATTCAAAAAAATTATATTAAAACGTTAATGGTAATGTAATTATAATAATATGTTAATTTTATATTATGTTAAATTATAATTTTATGTTAATGTTACTATAATAATATGTTGATATGTTAAAAAAATAATATACATCATGTAAAAATCACGAAGTGTTGATGTTTTTTACTTGCGATTTGCAAGTAAAAAACATCAATTATAAAAGCAATATTTGTGCAGCATAAATATGACTTTTATAATCAACAAAAATCGATTTTGGGATTTGCTGTTGTAGTTGTAACCCCTTCACATATATATAATTGTAATTTTATTGTTAACTGTACAGAAATGAAATTTTCATGCATTTTATATCCAAGTTTTGTGCATTTAGTGGAATACTTATTTTAATCTTATCTTTTGAACAAGGCAGACACAGTTTGTTTTAATGAAAATGAAGACTTCTTCCTATAATGGCATACTGATGAGTTGGATGTGTAACAATATTGACGAGTTGAGAAAACCTTTTTTTTTCATAAGTACAACTTATTTGTAAGTAACGTAAAAAGGAAGTGATGCTTCAAAAGTCTTATTTTGGTCCAAAAAATACATAAAACGCAATATCTCTTATGCATACATGTAAAATTTTACAATGCTACTGTGTATTATGAAACGGTATATAAGTACGATTCCGCGTAATTTCTAGGATTTCTGAGGAAAGACTCAAAGGTTAAATGAAGTTGTCAAGTTACCCTTGATCCTAACCAGCCCCATCCTCCCCTATGCCATCATAGGAGCAGTGGTTGCCTATGATAGCCTACTTGTGCTTTTGTTAAAAATAGGATTAACTTTTAAAAAAAGCAAAACTCATGAAAACTCCGAGTGTTATTATTTTTCCACATGTAACAAGGAATGTATCCATATCAAAAGTTTTATTAATGGTCTTCTGGATACTGAATAATAAAGATTCAAAGTTAAGGATGCCATTGTGGGCGCTTTTTCCCTACTTTGTTGTTGTCTGACAACAAGCTTTAGTACAGAGTTAAACATTGTATAGACAGTAAAAAAAATTATCGTTTTTTAGCACCCCTATTATCTTGGCGCCCGGAGCATGTATTTTCCCTTTACCCCACTCTCTCAGCGGCCCAGTTGACACATGTTATTATTTTTGTTTTAAAATGTTTAAAACACGCAACAGAAACCAAGCGTAACTTTTTCCTGAGTTGGTTGTTACAGATCAAAGGCAATTACTGAAATTCTATATCATTTTAAAAATAATTTTACAAAATAAACTGACATTTAATCGACATTTTTGCTTTCCTAACTTCTTTTAGTAAACATTTTATTACCCGTAAAACACTAATTTTTGCAAAATATAAATGCATATTATGTAATTAAGAATGTCTTATGTGTTTAAAAATATTTTGATTGATATGCTAGTTTTGTTTAATAAAAACTGTAAAAAAAACTTTGACGTCAAAGATAATATTTTTTTAATAATGCAATATGTGATAAACTAATAGGAATACTGTAGAGTGAAAAAAATTTTCTTCGTGTTGTAGGTCATATCATAGATCATTTGGTAATCCTTCAGTTAATCGGCGTATATTAAAATTTGCTTTTTTGCGTTTGTCACAAAAACGTCTGAACAAGAATTAAAACATCTCTAATAAGTATGTCTGATGTCCACAGATTAAAAAACGCTTATTTGAGGATCAGGATCAAGGTTAGGGTTTAGGGGTATTATCAAGTCATAGCAATCTAACCCTTATCTTAAACCGATTTGGACCAGCCATGACCTAAAATCAGACCCTAATTATGACACTTATAACCCTAAACCTAGCCCTCACTTTATCTAATTTTTTTATTCATTGAAGGGTGTGTTGTTTCAGACGTAGTTGTGGCAAGAGCAAAAAAAGCAAAAAAATAATATTAAATACGCGTTTAACTGAAGGATTACCAATCATTTATAGATTGAACTAGAGATTTTTGGCAATTGCTACTCCCTATAATTAGATTTAACTAATCTGTTAAAGATTTAAACTTCTCATTTTTGACCGAAATCAAATCTTTTTTTGTCTCACAACTTTGTTTTGATATTTTTTGGTATTTGATTTTTTTTTTACAAGAAGAGTTCTAGAATAACCATATAATTAAAATTTTTTTTGTTAAATACAGGAGTTATACAAAGACACTTAAATATATAAAATACTTTTTTAACAAAATAGTAAAATATATTAACACTACTTTACATAATAAAGTTGTTTTATTTGATTGGATTGATGATACAGTTGTCATTTTGATGTAAAATCATATAAAAGTATTTCCGCGTGACGTAAATGTTTCGTTTTTTTATTAGCTATTGTTATTTCTATATTGTCTTATTTCCTATACACAACTAATACTTATCTTGCTTTCTGTCTTTTGTTTTTCCAACGACTAACCAGTTGATCCATCAAATCCTATTTGTGTAGAGAAAAGCATGAATAAAACCTTTACAGAGTTATCAACTATTTTAAACAACTTGTTATGGCCAATAGGGTGTGTTATACTATATGATATTATATGATATGATTTTTTTTTTGAATATTTGTACGCAAACCCAGTACATAGACAATTTGTAAACAGTTATTTCAAAATCAAAAGTAAAATAATATTTTAACATCATCAAGACTTTCTGATTTTATAGGTGCTTGAAAAAGTATTTTTGTATCGGAGTATCGTATCTACATATAAATGAAAAAACAGACCGTTTTAAAGAAGACCTTTAGCTTATGTTAAAAGGCCAACTTAGATCGGTCTATTTTTACAAGAAACAAACAATAAAAACAAAAAAATACTTAATGAACAATGTTCACCAAAGTTAATTCACTACTGGATTGATCCACGCCAATACTTTATTTGGGTACTTTGTAGCACATATAGAAAATTATGCAATTTCAGCATTGGTAAATAAATGTGTTTAATCGGGTAGTCAAAGAAAAAGCAGACTTAAAAGATAAAAGTTTGTTACTAAACTTAAAAAGTTGTTTGATATGCTGAATTGTTATAGCCAAATTGTCACTTGTCGAGAGAAAATCTGTTCCTAAGAATCTTATAATGACATCCACGTGAAAGAAGGTTCTAAACAAAAAAATAAGTTTTTATTCTAAGACTAAAAGTTTAAGTACTAGTCCACATCAAATTCGATTAGCTCGTTAAAAAAAAAAAAAAGACAGAAAATGGCTTCAAGTTAGAGCCAGAAGATTTAAGGAAAAGTTAGAAAATCCTTTTAGTTAGTTGAACTAGTTGTGTTTTTAATTAGTTATATATTATTAAATAGAAATTAACTAAACATTTAAATAACAATTAATCGAGTTTAACATATATGGCTGTTTAAACTTAAAATTAACGAAATCCAATTTCATTTATTTTAACTAGCATTTTTTGATACTTCCAAAGGTCCAATGTCATTCTACCAATGTTAAAGCGTTTAACAACAGTTTAAAAAAGTATATCCTAACAATATTTTTACTGAATATAGTTCAAGTCTTATAAGAGTTTTGAAACAACGGAAACAGTTCATAATTAAAATTAGTGACTAATTTCAAACTCTAATTATTAGTGTCGACACAGAGCAACAATAAAAGGAAACAAGTTGAAAGTAAAGCAAAGAGTAAAAGAATATTCTGTATTTATTTATCGAAAAGTTTACTTAAATTTGATTGCAAAAGTAATCATAGTTTAATTTAAAAACACTTTTTAAACACTAAAGTTTTGGCAAAATAAGATATCTCTTAACAAAATCTTAAGATCTCAAAATAAATAAACTCTTAATTTAAAATCAGTGCTACCTTTGTTGTCCCAGTGAACTCAACGCCCACAAAAACTAGCTGAAAAAATATTTTAATAATTAATTTTGTTATTTAGATAAAGATGCGTGAGTTTTTTTTTGAAATATAGTTTGGCCACTTTTTAATTTTTGCGTCACATTATCATTCCGTCATTTATCATTCTAATATTATGCTGTCCGTGTGTAAACACTATATTATTGTCATTTATTTGATTATTTAGACTTTTAGCAAATTCTATTTCAGAAAAAAACAATTTAGTTTTTGTTAGTTTTAAGTTATATCTAAATTTGAAGCGAAAAAAATAAACTGGATGTATTGAGAAGAAATGTTTTTATAAATAGTTAAGATAATAAACTGCAAATTTTTGGGCTAAAAAACTCAAAAAGATGGTGCAAAATATTTACGTCGATCTACTATCACTGATCTAAATCACCGATAAAAAATGTAATGTTTTAAATTAAGATAATATATTTTTTTTGTTCACATATTTATATGATTGCATAGAGTTTTAGAAGACTTAAAAAAGGGTCTTTCAGCAAGTTGTTGCATTTTGTATACTGGAAAAATTGATGATTTTTTTTACAAAAAACATAGTACTTCTGTATTGAATATTGGCTATATTATAGCACCGAAAATATATATATATATATATATATATATATATATATATATATATATATATATATATATATATATATATATTATATATATATATATATATATATATATATATATATATATATATATATATATATATTATATATATATATATATATATATATATATATATATATATATATATATATATATATATATATTATATATATATATATATATATATATATATATATATATATATATATATATATATATATATATATATATATATATATATATATATATATATATATATATATATATATATATATATATATATATATTATAT